CCAACTTTGGGAGCAGGGCAGGAGAGCAATCTGACCCATCCAGGCTGCCATTCAAGGTCTGGGAATGCTCAGGCTTTCTCCTTGTTAATAAGAAAGAAATGAGAAGCTGACCCTTCGGACGGGTGGACGGGTCTCCCGGAGTTCCCTGCCAGCTCTGGAATCTACCAGGATCTCCTGGGTGAGTCAGAGAACCAGGTGGATCCCTTTTCATGACAACCAGGGAAGCCTGCCTTGCAAACAGCAGCCGCCCTGATGTCCTCGCTGTGGTGCTGGACATCCTGTCTGCCAGCTCTGCTCCTTCTCCCCTTCCCAGCCTTCCCACAGCCACAATCATTACAACACTTCTGTGCTTTCGCTCCCCCTTTATGGTTGTCAAATTGATTTCACCACCGCGATACCTATGACTCCCAATGAAACTTAATTAAAAATACCATTTAATCACAAAGTAACAAAGGCAAACTGGATAAACGGCATTACCACTTCAGCACATTTTAATCCACACTACTGCTCTCCATCTGAATCTGCTTGCATGAGAATTGCCTTTTCAAATCAGAATCCCCTTGTCTTCTATGCACTTGCTTCTGACAGATCTCCAAAATAAACAGTGTTTAGCATGGCATGGATCCAAATGCATGCAATTTGCCCAGTGGTAAAATCAGCCTTAACTAGAGCAGGGGAAAAAAAAAAATGTAGCACACTCAAGAATGCTTTCTCTGAAAACACAAAACAAACCTTCTACTGAATGTCAGGTGCCCATTAAATAGGGCCTAAGGCATCTCATTTCTAGCCTCCCACCATTCTGTTAGTGATGGGTTTAGAAGCTTATTACTAAAGTTGTGTCACAGTCTATGCCTTGACCTTGCTTTTTTCTTTCACGTCTAGAAAACTCTCTTGGGCTGGAGCAATGGATGTACTGGTCAGAGGGGAAGCTACAAACAGGAGGACCGGGCAGCTGCTCAGTATCATAGGAGGGGTTTGCAGAGTATCTTTGTCATCTCCAAATCTCAACCCTGATGGAGACATCCCCTTGGACTGAACCACCTGATCTCTCAGAGGCCCTTTAGAACCCAGGTAGTGACCAGAGTGGTCATCTAAAAGCATAACCTTATCAAGCTTCCCCACTCCTGCCTCTGAGAAACTCCAGAGGCTGGTCCAGCCTCCTTCCTCCTGCGTCTCCTCCTGCTCCTCACTTTCTCCACTTGGTCTCACTGTCCTTTTTTCTTCCTTGAGCATCTGACTCCAAATGTTCTTCTACCTTGAGGTGTCTTTGTACGTGTGCCTGGAAACCTCTCCCTATCACCTCCCTAAGCAGGCCTAGTGGTGCAGTGGTGAAGTGCTCAACTACACTGCAGGAGACAGATGTGGCAGCCTGCTTCCTTCCATGTTATAGTCTTGGAAACCCCATGGGGCAGTTCCACTCTGTCCTGGGAACTGACTCCATGGCACACAACACCATCACCTCTGTCCCCTGACCTACTGCTCAAAACCACCGTTCATCAGTTACCCCGATCCACCCCTTCACTCAGTCCGCTTCCCAGCATCCACACTGATGTGAAATGACCCTATTATTTATGTGCTGGTTTATTGTCTTCCTCCCACAACATGGAAGTTCCCATTTTTTTTCCTCGCCCTCCTGGCTGTGATAGGCATTCAAAAGAGGTCTGAGGGAGGCAGGGAGAGTCAGGAGCATCTTAAGATGGTTTTTTGAGAGATGGCCAGTGGCCCCCAGGGGCAAGGCTGCCTACTACGTCATACAAATGGGGTGGAGGCCAGTCTTCCCAGGAAAGCCCTTCACTGGTGGTCAAGGCAGGAAATAAGCCAGAGGTCAGCGCCCTGACCACTTCCCCCGATGGCCTCTAGCTGCCTCTCCTTCCACCCACCTGAAACCACACAGAGCATGTGCAGTGCTCAGACATACTGAGCTCATGCTCACTGAGGTCTCAGGAGAACATTTTCTCTCCCCTTGCAGATTTGATTAAAGCAGTGGTTCCCTCAACCCGGGCTGTACATCAGCTGGTACCTATCAGGTCAACCCACTGGAGTGCAAGAAGAAAACGTCAGAGTCCCTCTTTGTTTTGGATCACATCCTTTTAATATTTTTATTGTTTATGAACATTTTATGGTGTATATGACGTATTAGCACAAGAAGTCCACAAACCAAGTTCGATAAACGAATGCACATATTGGGATGAGCAATAATAAACATTAATGTTTCTTTTTACAACAAGGGAGCAAGCAAACAGGCCTGAAGGGGACTGAGTAAAAGGGTGTAAAAGGTCAGGTTGACTACTGATGATAATGGTCAACAACAGGGACAATGCCCCCACTAAGGGAGGAAGACAGTGCTTAACTTGTTACCAGGTAGGAAGGAGGTCTAGGGCGGCCAGGTATTCTGAATTTTAAAGAGAATGCAGACACTTGTATTTATATGAACGCTCCCAATTTAAAACCACTGCTACCCGATGAAATATGTAGGTGTCCTGGAGTGGCACTGTAGGAGAAAGCGGTCAAACTCAAGGTTGATTTGAACTGCAAGGTTGGTGGTTCAAACTCACCAGCTGCTCCTGGGAAACCCTATACAGGGCTGCTATGAGTCGAAACTGACTTGATGGCACTTCACAACAACAATAACCATGAAACATAGGGAGTCCTAGTATGGTGCTGTAGGATGAGTTCCCGACTGCTAACGACAAGGTCAGCCGTTCAAACCTACCAGCTGCTCCTCAGAAACCCGATACAGGGTTGTGATGAGTTGGAGCGGCATTTAGCAACAATAATAAAATATTTGTTGATATACAAAGACAGCATTATGAGAGCCATCTAAAACCCTGGGCTGCATGGTCCTGAGGGTGCCTCACCTGTGACTTGTAGCTACCACACACCTTGGATCTGTTACTTCATTTCATCTCTCCCACAACCCTGTGAAGTAGTGCTGCACCTCCCTTTTACAGATGAGAAAACCGAGACTCAGAAATACCAGAATCTGGATCCACGGTGTGAAAGACTAAGTCTCTAGGCCACGGGAGCCTGGCTGCTTTGTGCAGCGTGATGTGTGGAGATTAGCACTGTGGGAATGGATGCCTATGCCTGGGATCAATGCATTCCGGTCTTCATTGGGCCTCTCAACAAACCAAAGTTCTTCAGCTTCAAACTACTGTGACCTGCAGCGAAGGCACATCAGACTGATAGAGGGGCTGGCTGTTCACTCAGTTCCTGGAGACACTGAAGGGCTGAAGCCAGGTCAGAAAGGAAGTGGTGTGGTAATGGCGTCACGGGCACAAGTGGCACGGGGATAAAGGGAAAGGGGAATGCCCGCATCTTGGACAGCTGACGGATCAGTTTGCCAGGCATTTTGTAATAGCAGCATTTGCTGGGTAGTTAGCTATGTGCTGGGTTATTACACTTCTTCCTAACCTAGCGAGCTGATGCCTGTAGTGTCTTTGCTGTGCATATGAGGAAACTGAGGTACTGCCAGGTGCTAGAAGTCACAAGGATGATGGGAGCTTTAATCCGGGCACTCTGAGTCCAGCGTCTGTTCTACATCAGAGGGAGTGGTGAGACTCCTCGGGCCTCAGTTCCAGCCGTCATGACAGATGAATGGTGAAATCGGAGGAAAAGGACACTCTGTGGTTGAATCCACAAAGCATCGTAATAGGGCTTCTTCTCTTTCATTAATGAGGAAATCTCCTAAGGACAGGAGGTCAATTCTAGTTTAATTTTTAACACCTCCATCCCTGTATACAGAGTATAGGATTCATAACTCTGACAGTACTTAGGCTGTCTCAGAGAAGAGAAAGAGGCAACGCTTCCTTGAGCCATTTCTCTTTTAATTTCTTTCTCCTCTGGGGATTAAGGAGTCCTGGTGTGGCACTGGGGGCTAATGCACTAGATTGCAGAATGGGTTTGAAGAGCAAGGTTGGCGATTCAAGCTTACCAGCCGCTCCTCAGAAACCCTATACAGGGTCACTATGGTTTGACACTGACTTGATGACACTTAACAACAACAACAGTGGGGATTAAGGACTCCTGGTGTGGCACTGGATTTCGAGCCACAGTCAGCAGTTCAAAACCCCCAGCTGCTTCACAGGAGAAAGATGAGACAGTCTGCTCCAGCAAAGATTTCATCTCAGAAGTTCTGCAGAGCAGTTGTCTGTTTTACAGGGTCTCCATGACTTGGAATCAATCTGACAGCAGTTGGGTGGGTGGAAATTGTGACTGAAGAGAGCTGGGAAAGAGACTCTCCCAATACCAAGCTCTTAAAGCAGCGCTGACCAACAGGGCTCTGTACCATGATAACACCGTGTTCTGTACTATGCTGTCCAATACAGTCCTCACTCGTCACATGTGACCACTAAGCACTTGGAATGTGGCTAGTGCAACTGAGGAACTGAAATTTCAATTACATTGAAATTTAAGCAGCCACAGCTAGTTTATAGGGATGAAGGATTCTAAATTCTTTCTTCCCCAGGTGATTTGGCCCACCCACTCTTGTTTTTGTTATTAACGGATGTCAAGTTGTTTCTGACTCATAGCAACCCTGTTTAAGGTTTCTGAGGAGTGGTTGGTGAGTTTGACGCACCGATCTTGTGGTTTAAACTGACCTTGAGGTCCAGTGCTTATTCCACAGGGCCACACTGGGGTCCACTCTAGTGTCTCTGAAAGACTTCGGGAGAGTGAAGTGGGTTAGGCTTTGTCACACATGGGCTCACTGCTACCGATCCCTCAGCACTTGAATAGCACATATTAAAAGTCCATGTTTGTGTGTCTGTGGTGTATGTGTGGGATATCTTTATTTAATACCAAATCAGACTATAACACTGTCTTATTTAAAAGTTTTTTAATATTAATTTCCTGGTTGTTTCCATCTGGGACCCAGGTTCTACATTCTAATGGCTAAGAGAAGTCTACCCATACTGCTCTTGCCCAAGCCATGAGAAAGTGGGAGAAGAGCCAAAGTTATCTATTCCTTCTGCACCTAAGATTTGTGTTCTTTCTAGGGTCTAGGGTTTCGATTCCAGAAGCTGACCTCTGAGTTCTGAAATGATGTCAGTGAGATCAAATGGCAGAAGCATTGAAGGGTCATCCTTTTCCCAGTACGGCTGACATTCTGGTCTCTGATCCGTGGATAACGATTGGGCAATCCGGCACTGGCACCTGGAAGAGTAAGAATAGGCAATTCAGTGAAGGGAAGAGATTCCTGGGAGGTCAAACCCACAAGAAGCTTAAGGAACACAGCGTAAAGCTCTACCCATAACTCCTTGAGGGCTTTATAAGAAGGCAGAGCTTCTTTCACTCTGATTCCCAGATTTGTGTGATCTCGAGTGGCTTCCCAGAAGCCAATCATCAGGGAAATGCAGTTCTTCGGCCTTGAAAATGGTGAATTATTTTTTCATTATCTCAACTGTTATTTAAAGTGTGTGATTAAGCCATTATCAGATTTAAATGTTTGTGGGATTTCAATGTATTACTAGATTACTGGGAAAGATTAAATTGAATTTACTGCATTAAAATGTCCAAGGATAGATTAAACAATATTACAGACAAGGATTGACTTTGGAGATCCTGGAGATTTACAAGGGTCCCCAGTTTGCTCTGTGCAGAAAAAGACACTCCGAGGAGACACCCATTTATAAGGCTGTATGCAAATGGAGGTTAATAATCATTTCCACTGATGAATAGGTGGGGAAAACTTCCACAAAATTAAATTAAGAGGCTAGCAAGACTTAGTCCCTAAGGAAAACACTTCAATCACAGTTTTTATTAAATGGATTATTCATCAAAAGTGGAGAAATTAATTATCACATGCAACTGAATTACAGCCTTATACGAAGAAAGTTGGGGAAACATCATCACACTTTGACAGGCAGCTCTCTGGCTGAGGGACCACCTTCTTTCAAATTAGTCTGGTCTTTAGCTTCATTTGTCTGAAAAAAACGCAGATCCGAGAGAAGACAGCAAAAATTGCAATGAAGAATCTCTCTGCTATCCTGGAGCATGTGGAGATGAACGTGTGGACCCCAAAGAAATACCATGAATGTATTGGAGAGGGTCCCCATTCCTCCTCTTCCCCTGCTTTCCCTGCGTCTTTCTCTATTTAAAAAGTGGTCATACTCAATATATGTCTTCTGACTGGGGGGATTGATCATGGAGAGACCAGTGAGTGGAAGATCCTGGCCCCATTTCCCAGTACGATGGTCGAGAAGGTTCCTAACTAAAAGACATCTTCTCTGGGGAATTATTAATGGTGAGGGGATCCCCATGGGAAAACATACTTCAACTTTACACCTATTTTCGTGTGTGGTTAATTGCCATACCGGCATCCTATGCACTCAATCCGTCGTACATTACACATAACATTCCAATATATCTTCAGCTCTCCGCATCAGGCCTTGATAATAGTGTCTGTTAACATGCACTAAGCACTATTATGTAGCACATCACTTCATAAATAATAAGATTAGCTGACCTTGGGGCCCCAAGAAGAGTAATGTGTTTAAATGTTCTCATTATTTATTTAAAACAAGAATTAAAGCAAGAGAAGCTGCTTTTGACAATCCTCTTAGCATAAATATTAAACTATTTGCACTGATAAGCCTCACACCGCACTGACGAGCAGAGGGTGCGTTCGGCAGTCTACTTCATAATAGGTTTTGGAGACTCTGCCGCTTGCTGTGGTGGTTCTGAGGGTACATCTCTGTTCTGGAGACAGTCTCTAAATCACATGAAAGGGATGAGGGGAAAATTAATATTCAGGGGAGGCTGCAACTAATTACAAAGGAACTCTGCAAAGCTTTTTAAATTGTGCTTTCTCTGCCTCGGAATCAGAGAGTAATGCTCAATTTACTAGGTAGGGAAAGTTATTCCAAATTGAGCGTTTCAATCTCACAGTGGATAAATTATCCGTGCACACATTATCCTGCCTGGCAGATTCAAGAGCTATGATAAGTGCCGATCCACCTAGAATATCATAAGGTTTGTAAAAAGTCAATAGAGATGCTTTTTCACCTGTCAAATAGGTTTTGCCCCCTCACTTTGAGCAAGTATTAGAAATATTAAAACCTGCTGTGGAGGGGGTAGCTTAGCGGTGCCATAAAAGCTTCCCGAGGCCACTGGCTTTTCATTGGGACAAAGTTGTACGTGGCGTTCTGCCATTGTTTTTCTCATCAAAGAACACTTAGTTGTGGTGGGACCAACTCCCTCCTTTTCACGACAGGCCAGTTGTACTGACTGCATCCAAATGAGTAGTAGAACCCTTTGTTGGGTTTCTGCAAGGCCTTAATTCACACCTTTCTAGACCCCTTTAAAACTTAATACTCATAGCAACCCCACATAGGGTTTCTGAGGGTGGCTGGTGGATTTGACCTTGTGATGAACAGCCCAATGCCACACCAGGACCCTAATGCCCAGCACTCCTTGCCAATTTCCAGTGCCAGTGATTAGGCCCAGCAGTGGGCTTGTGTTTATCGATGAGCGAGGACAACCACTCTGGGTTAGTACACAATACTGTCTGACTCCGCATCATGCCACACTGGGGGATTGAGAAACAAAGGGTGGGGGCTTGAAGCCATGTCTCCCTTAGGATTTTTCACTTCTCTTGTCCACATCGCTCATTCTGCCTCTCCCCTGTGTTATTTTCATAAGACAGGGATATAAAACTCTTGCAACAGCAAGACTGCCAGCACACACATCTTGGGTGGGTTTCCTAATCTCACTGAGCCTGTCACAGGGGATGATTATCATCAGCAGCGTCTCTTTCTTATGGGGCTGTTGTGAAGAAGAAATTAATCAATACATGCAAATGTTTAGAAAATGCCTGCCACAAACTAAGTGCTCAAAAAATACAAAAGGTTACCATCACCATGACTTGTACTGACGATAGTTACAGGGACAAATGTCAACGAGAATGCTGCCTGGAGGGCCTGTGGCCATCCCCTCAATCAATTAACTAGCTGGGCAACACCAGACCACCTCTTTCTAGGGGAGGTTCTGGTTACAAGAGCTGCTCTTTCTGGCTTGAGTCAAATTGAGCCTGGGCTGAATCCCAACAAAACGTTATATTCCAAGACACCGAGCCTTAGACATTTAAACTGCTACAACCTTCTGGTGACAGGCTAAAATGTTCAGATTCACCAAGACTCAGCAGTTGGTCTTAAAGACCTAGAATGAATAAAAGGTACTAGCGGAGGATTTTTTTAAGCGGTGGTTATGGCATTTACAAGAATCAAAGTAGGATTGTCTCTTAGCATACATACTGTACTGTAGCTCTTAAGTATCTTCCTGTCAGTTTCAACTCAGAGCAACCCAGTGTAGGAGCAGTTGGTGGGTTTCCTAGGAGCAGCTGGTGGCTTTGAACCACTGCCCTTGTTGTTGTTATTGTTGTTATATGCCATGGAGTCGGTTCCGACTCATAGCGACCCTGCACAGGCTGTAAATCTTTATGGGAGCAGAACGCCTCATCTTTCTCCCGTGGAACAACTGGTAGTTTTGAACTGCTGACCCTGAGGTTCACAGCCCGATTTGTAACCACTACGCTACCAGAGCTCCTTACTGATCTTGTAATTAGTGCTTACCCTACAGCACCACACTAGGATTCCATATACTCTACGTTGTTAGGTGCCATCAAGTTGGTTCTGACTCATAGTCACATACTCTATAGTCCCTTTGAGCAAAATAAAGGAAGCCTAAACTGTCTTAGGAGTCTTGGTGTGGCGCTGTGGGCTAATGCATCAGACTGCAAAGTCGTTTGAACTGCAAGGTCGGTGGTTCAAGCTCACTGGTTGTTCCTCAGAAACCCTATACAGGGTCACTATGGGTCGGAACCAACTCAACAGCACTTAACAATAACAACAACAAACTGTCTTAAGAAATATTTAGGAAGGCTGATTGTGGTGGGCATTTGTTGGCTTGTATCCACTACCCCTTACCCCACCAAAAAGATTCCAATTTTTCTGTGGGGAATCCATCCCTTCCCTGTGCTTGGTCATGGCTTTCTGTGGGATTCACTTCACACCCACAGTCAGGGGAGAGTCTTGATTGGCTTAGCTCCTCCACACAAGCCCATTGTTTGAGCCACAGGGGAGACATAGGACTGAATTTGGGGCAAGAGGAGAGAATCCGAGCACTGGCATGGAGCTCTATAATGGGACAGACACAGTGAGGTGCACAGCAAGCCACTCGAGATTCTCAAGGACAAAGTTCTGACAGACAAGCAGGAAAGATGGAATGAAAATAGGAAGCACATGGAGGAAGTGGGATCACTGATGGTACATGGAGGGAACTGCAATCAGTGAGATGAAATGAAGCGTATGATGTGCTGCATGTAAAACTTAACATCTGCTCTATAAACCTTCATTCCATTCATAATAAAAAAGTTTATATAGAGCTCTGTGGAGTCCTGGTGTGACACTGTAGAATAAGCACTGAATGGCACGGTCGGTCGGTGATTCAAACATACCAGCTGCTCCTCCGAAACCCGATATAGAGTTGTTATGGACTGGAACCCATTCGATGGAAGCAAACAACAACAACATATACATGTATCTTATGTATGTCTGTGGACTCCTGGTGTGGTGCTGTGGGATCAGCACTGGATTGTGAACCACAAGGTCGGCAGTTCAAACCTACCAGCTGTTCCTTGGAAACCCTATACGGGCTTGCTATGAGTTAGAACTGACTGGACAGCACTTGAAAACTTAACAACAACATGTATGTATGTAGGTATGCGACCTTATGCAAAACATTCTGTATACATGAGATTGCTATGAGTTACAGCTGACTCCACCGCACTTAATAAAAACAACAAGGAACTGGGTTCTGGGCAACACTGTCTGATAGCTGGATCAAGCCTCATTGACAGCTACACAAAGATATTAAGGAGCTCTGGTAGCATAGTGGTTACGAATTGGGCTGTGACCCACAAGATCAGTAGTTTGAAACTACCAGCTGATTCGTGAGAGAAAGATGAGGCTTTCTGCTCCTGTAAAGATTTACAGCCTTGGAAACCCTGTACAGGGTCGCTATGGGTCGGAACCAACACGACGGCACTTAACAACAACAACACACAGACACCGAAGATTCATGAGCCTTGATTTTTGTTTGCGTTAGGCTTTCTGTCACTTATAGCCCAGAGTCCTGGCTGCTGTGATGATCATGGT